TTTATTTATTTATTTAGTGTGTGTGTGTGGCCAGCTCAGCCCACCAGGGGGCGGGGCTGGCTGGCATGTGGTGCTGGGGGATTGAACCGCGGTCCATGTGCTTTGCTTGGCTTAGCTTGTTCTAAGTAGGTGCTTTAGACCACTGAGCCATCTCACCAGCCATGTGGTTGGATTTTTGTTCATAAAGTCTTTGCCTACACCAATGTCTTCAAGAGTTTTACCTATTCTATTTTTTTTTTTTTTTGCGGAACCAGGGATTGAACTCAGACCCTTGCGCTTTCCAGGGAAGCGCTTATTCCACTGAACCATCTCCCCGGCCCCTACCTATTCTATTTTTCATCAGATTGAGTGTTTCTTTTTCAATATTTAGATCTTTGATCCATTTAGAGTTTAGTACATCGTGAAATATATGGGTCTATTTTTAATCTTCAGCATGTGGAAGGTCAGTTTTTCCAGCATCATTTTTTTTTTTTTTTGGAACCAGTTGAACTCAGGCCCTTGAGCTTGCTAGGCAAGCGCTTATTCTACTGAGCCATCTCCCCGGCCCCAGCAGCATCATTTATTAAAGAGGCTATCTTTCTTCCAGGGAAGGTATTTAGCATCTTCATCAAAGATATGGGCCAACCTGATAGCTCAGTGGACTAAAGCGCCTGCTTAGGTAGAGTCCAGTGTCCAAGGTTTGATTGCCGGCATGCCGTGCTGGCTCTGCCTGCAGGGCGCACTGACAGGACAATGGAGACAGGGTGTGGTGGCACCCACCTATAATCTCAGCACTTGGGAAGCTGAAAACAGGAGAATCACTCTGAGTCTGATCTGTGTAGTGAGACGCTGTAGACCCTGTAATAAATAAATAAATATGACAGCTAACTATGCTGGAGTTGTTTCTGCATTGCCTGATCTGTTCCATTGATCCCTAGATCTGTTTCTTCCTTTTTTTTTTTTTTTTTGCCAGCACCAAGCTTTTTTTATTTTTTTAAAATCACATTAGCTTTGTAGTGTAATTTCAAGTCAGGGATTGGGGTTAATAATTTTTTTTTTTCCTGGTAGTGGGAATCAAACTCAGGACTTTGAGCTTGTCAGGCAGGCACTTATGCCGCTGAGGCATATCCCCAGCCCACGTCATAGATTGTGATGTCCCCTGCATTGCTTTTGTTGCCCAGAACAGCCTTTGGCAATTTAGGTCTCTTCTGGTTCCAAATGAATTTTAGAATTGTTTTCTCTAATTTTGTAAGATATGTTGTTGGAATTTTTTTTGGGATTGCATTAAATCTGTATAATAATTTTGGAAGCATGCAATTTTCACAATATTGGTTCTTCCTATCCAAGGGCTAGGGATATCTTTCCATTTTCTGATGTGCTCTTCTGTCTCCTTTTTCAGAGTGCTATAGTTTTCAGAGTAGAAGTCTTTTACTTCATTTGTTAGATTTGATTCCTAGGTATTCAGTTTTTTGGATTTTTTTTTATTAATGTATTTTATTTTATTTATGTGAGTTCAATCCCTGATTCTGCAAAAAAGAAAAAATCTAGAAGTCTATTTGTGAAGTTTTGTTTTCTCTTCTGCCCAAGTTAAGGAGCTACTGTTTATGTTCCCTTACCCCATTACTACCTTCCGACCTGTTAGTACTGGATTTGCTTTCTGGCTTCCTTTCTACAGTCATCCAACAGTGGCACCCAACATTAGAACTGGGGTGTGTGTTGGGGGAAGATATTGGTTGTTAAATCCAGGGCCATTGAATTGAGCTATAGCCTCAGGTACTTTCTACATCCTTTTTTTGAGGGGTCTTGCTAAGTTTCTCAGGTAGGGTTTTAACTTGTGAACCTCCTGCCTTAGCGTCTTAAAATGCTAGAAGTACAGATGTATGCCACCACAGCTAATTTAACATCTCATAAACATGTTTATACTGTAAGAATAGTGAAGAGTAAAATGTTAGTCAAGTTACACGAATTACAGGCCTGGGGATGTAGCCCAGCAGTAGATATATACTAAGTAAATATATACTTACTATATATATATATATATATATATATATATATATATTTTTTTTTTTTTTTTTTTTTTTTTTTTTTTTTTTTTGTGGAACCGGGGATTGAACTCAGGCCCTTGTGCTTGCCAGGCAAGAACTTATTCTACTGAGCTATCTCCCCGGCCCCTTACTATATATTTTTAGTATACTTTTCCATGTTTTTTAATTTTATTGGTTAAAAATAATGCATATATGTGTAGATCTGTTACAGAAAAAGGCACCAGTGAAAAAGGTCAAAGTTTCTTTTAGCAAACTAGTAGCTAGTTTTGTGAGTCTCTGTAACTCAGAATTAACTCAAAACTGACGGATAGCACTGCCTTCACAAATTCGCCAATCTGTTAAAATGCACACAAACGCCACAATGTCCGACAGTGCGTTGCTCTTGCTACGCCCGGGTGGCCAGGGCCCTTGAGGGCGGAGGCCCCGCGTGCTCCCAACCGCCGCGGCCACCCCACCCTCCTTCCGGAGCGGAGCCGGCCCTGATCCCAGGGAACTGGCGGGCCGCGAGGGACAGCCTCACACTGGCCATCAGCGCGAGGGAATTCAAGAGGCCGGAGGGCCGTGCCGATTCGGCTAGTTCGTAGATTATCAGGGATGAGAGCAGAGGAAGGGAGCCTTAGCTTTCACAAGAAAGCCAGCTAACACTTGCGGGACAGGTTCTTTATTTTTGTTATTAGTACCCTTTTCAGTACTGTCAGAAAAAAAATTGCTATATGCATTAATTGCTTTAAACTGAAACGCAAACAAAACGAAGTACATTCCTTTTATTTTCGCTACAGGAGGAACGGGGGGGGGGGGGGGGGACATCGGTTGGCCTGGTTGCTAACGCGCGAAGAAAGGCCTGACAGGCGGAGAAGCACAGAGGCCCCGGAGGAAGTCCGGGGAGGAGAAAGGGCTGGGAAAACCGTAGGGCTCGTTAGTTTTCTACAGTTGAACATGGCCTGTTCATCATTGCTCTCTCCCCACTCTAAGAAAAGGCCTTTCTTCATCTACACAGCGTGGTTGTTTCTTTTTGGCGCGTTTTCTTTTTCTCATGCCCGAGGGCAAGGCAGATTTTTCGAGCACGCCAACGGCAGCCCGCAACCCCCCCCCCCCCCCCCAGCACCGCGGGAATTCCAAGCTGTAGGCCGACCGTCCGCCAGTCGTTGTAAACAGCAGAGATTGGACACTGAAGCCGCCAGTCAGACTTTCCGGATACCCGGATGTGAAGCGGTCCGCGATACAAAGGCGAATTTCCACCCCCACTTTCTCTAGAACAGTGGCCAATAACCGGTATTCGAGCACTAAGTGACAGGAAAGGTAGCCAGTTACAAACTAGTTTCTGTTACGCATGTGGAAATTGTGGGGTTTAGCCTCACCCACTGCTGATTGTAATTGGGTAGAATTATGAAGAGCGGTAGAACTGACTAATTAACACTCCGAGCGAGAAAAACTTCAGCCAATAGGAAAGCTCTTAGGAGTGGGGCGGGGGCTAGGCCTTCGCCTCGGCGGCAGAGAAGACTCGGGGGCCATTTTGTGAAGAGACGGAGACTGAGCGGTCGGTGCCGCGTTGCTGACCTCGAGCAGCAGTCAACTCCACGTAGAACCTGGGAGCAGGGGATTCGGAATCGAATCTCTTCTCTCACCTCTCCTGGTAAGTGGAGAGGGTGGACTTCAGGGATGCGCTGGGTTTCTCTGGGGCCTGGAAGGGAGTGTGGGAGAGAAAGACGAACGAATTCTTGTCTCGGTCAAGTAACCAGGCCCCATTTGTTGGGCCTTAAGTGGAGAGAGTTTTTCAGGCCACGGCCTCCTCGTAGGCTTAATCTACTTTACTTTAGGCTACTGTCCTCTAGCAAAATGTGCTTTTGTCGCTTTGGCGTTTAACGGCTGCTTTTCTTTCCTTTTCTACGACCGTCGAGACTCGGAGAGATGGTGAGAGTGAAGATCGCGATGCTCATTAACATAATTGAAGTTAATGTATTATTGATGAATTTTTTTGTTTTTGCTTTTACGTCTGTTGCCTTTATTGAGTTTTGTTGTATTTTTGAGACAGGGTCTTTATTTCAGTATGGCCTTCCACTCGGCGATCCTCCTCAGCCGCGACTGCTGGGATTTCTTGCGTGCGTCATCACGCCAGCTGCCTTAAATTTAAAATTAAAGCGGGCAATAGGACAGGGTTACCAAATATTTTGCGAGCCTTTCAATTTCGGATCCTGTAAATGGCACAAATAGTAATATTTTAACAAGAGGTTTTTTTTTTTTTTTTTTTGGCTGGGGTTTTTTTGTAGCCCAGGGTGGCTTCGAACTGGCTCTATCCTGCCTCGGCTGCCCCTCCCGCGTGTGCCGCCATGTCGGTCGGTAATTTGATTTTTATTGACCACTTTTTATTTTTCTGTTCTTTGTAAGCCTATGATGTATTTCGAAGTATTTCTATTCTTCAGAAAGGAAGTTTTGGGGTCGGGGAGATAGCTCAGTAAAATAAGCGCATACCAGGGGGTCTGAGTTCAATTCCCGGTTCCGCACACAAAAAAGTAAATTTTGTAGCTTAATTATATTATTACTAATACAGCTGACTTTTTGTCTGCAGTTACAAATCTCTTGAAAAATATAAATTAGTGGGATTTTGCTTCAGGTAGGTATTATCTTTCGCAGCTAAAAACTAAGGCTTAAGGTTGTCAGGATCAGTAGGTGGTAACACTACTAAGGAATTTGACCAGTAGTAGGTCAAGTAGATTGACAATAGTTGTAATGCTAGGTACTTAAACACTTTTTCTTTTTAGTTTTTTTTTTTTTTTTTTGCGGAACCGGGGTTTGAACTCAGGCCCTTGAGCTTGCCAGGGAAGCGCTTTTTCCACTGAGCCATCTCCCTAGCCCCTTAAACACTATTTTAATCTTCAGGAGAACCCAGGTTTAGAGAAATCTCAAGAAGAAATTTCTAAATTGGACTTGGGAAAAATATTTACAGTATTTGTGGTTGATTTTCAGTGACGAAAAACAGTTAACTTTGCAGCATATTCTGGCGTGAATCAATCCTGTCCTTCTAGAATGGTAAAAATTGTATTGTAGTCCTTACTATTTGCTAGGTACTGAGGCTTTATTATTATTATTACTTTTTTTGTAAAAATTTAAATGGGCGGGGGAGATGGCTTAGTAGGATAAGTGCTTGACTGGCAAATGCAAGGATCTGAGTTCAATCCCCGGTTCCGCCAAAAAAAAAAATAATAAATCAGTAAGTTGGGGTTTGTGATATAACTTAGTGATTAAGAGTACTTACCTAATCAGTGGAAGTTCAATTCTCAGAATAACTGGAAAAAAAAAAAATCCAACCCCTGATATGATAAACAAAAAGTTAAGAGGTCTTCAGTGTCACATTTACTTGAAAGTCAATTTAAAAATCCACTCGCAAGATTTGCTTGATATTTTTCACAAAAGCTTTCAAAGCACAGTGTAAATGTTGCACAGATTTATCCCTTAAACTGATTTTTTTTTTTTTTTTTTAATTGGCACAACCGGGGATTGAACTCAGGCCCTTGTGCTTGCCAGGGAAGCACTTATTCTACTGAGCCATCTCCCCGGTCCCCCTTTAAACTGATTTGATAGAAATTAGAGATTAAAAATACGGTCGGTCTTTTTCTTTTTTCTTTTTTTTTTGGCAGAACCAGGGATTGAATTCAGGCCCTTGCACTTGCCAGGGAAGCGCTTATTCTACTGAGCCAACTTCCCAGCCTCATTGGTCTTTATTTTTGCTTTACTGGGAATCAAACTGAGGGACGCTCAGCACTGAGTTCTAGCCATATTTTACTTTGATCTAGGGTTTTGCTAAATTGCCCAGCCTGGCTTTTAGCTTGTAGTACTGTCTCTGCCACTGTCAGTGCTAGGATATAGGTATATGCTACCAAGCCTACCACTCTTTCATTTTTAGAAGCCTAAACATTTGTAGTATACATTGGTTTAAAACAATTTTTCAGTGGCCAGGTGTGTTGGTACGACTCTGTAATCCCAGCAGTTGGGAGGCTGATGGCTAGCCTGGATTATATAGGGACACAATTTGTCTCAGAAACCCTCCTCCCCCCAAAAGCTAATTTTTTATTTTTTTAAACTGCTCAGTTACTAAAAGGGAGATGTGAAGACAGTAATTGCTTCAAGAGGAAGTAGTAATCTTAAGTGTTGGTAAATGTCAAAAATTAATATGGAAAGCTGGGCGTGGTGTCACATGCCTGTAATTCCAGCACTCTGGAGGCAGAGGCAAGGAGAATCACTTTGAGTTCGAGACCAGCCTGTGCTACGAAGTGAGCTCAAGGCCATTCTGAACTGCATAGTGAGACCCTATCTCAAAAACAAAATAATTAGTATGGAGCAATTACTGGTGCTGTTGAAATTGTTAGAAAAACGGGTTCCTGAGGATCATCGTGTACCAAGGTAACAAAAATTCCTGAGTTACTATCAGGAACTCTAGTGCAGAATTAGTATCAAGACAATTCTGATGTTTTTAACTAGGTAAGCGTTGTTTATATTTTTTATTTGGAAGGGTCTAAAAAGGATGAAGTTGCAGATTTCTGGACCTCCTTTTTGTTTGTGTGAATCATTCTTGGGATTACTTTATTTGCTGTTCCTTTTGTAGAGTATTTAAGCATTCTTAGTGTTTATAATTAGATCTCTAGAGTTTGAGATTACGTGTGACCTTGTTTTGTATGGAATGGCTGTTGGAAACAATATACAGTATTCCAAATCAGCTAGGTGTTCTAGTTTTAATGAGGAAGTGTATTAATGGTGTTAGGAGTGTTAATAATTAGAGTGTGAACCATGGAAAAAATGGCCTAGGAGTTTAGAGCACTAGATTTTAATTCTGCTTGCTGATTGTGTCATTGTTGGGCAAATTAGTTAAGACTTGCATTTTAGTTTTATAGAGAGTTAAGGCTCTATCTCTCTAATTTCTGTAACTGAAGTCTTAGTTGTGAAAGGCTGAAAAGTGCCGATTTTTTTTTTTTTTTTTTGGCTTTACTTTTGTGGTACTGAGTATTGAGCTCATGACCCTGCGCCTGGCAGGCGCTTATTCTACTGAGCTATCTCCCTGGCCCTCGGAGGTTTTATAATTGTTCTCTGCATTAATAGTGAACTTTTAAAGGTTTTTTTTTTTCTTTTCTTTGTGGAACCGGGGATTGAACTCAGACGCCTGCGCTTGCTAAGGAAGCGCTTATTCCACTGAGCCAGCTCCCTGGCCGGTGGATTTTTAATTTTTTTCAAGCAGTATGTTATCTTCGAGGAGCTATATTTGTTCGTATTTCCAGTGTACATTGTCTTTGAGTACCATGAGGATTATGATTTTGTGCATGTTAAATTTACTAGACAATCTGGCAAAAACCAGAGGTGCTAGGTGAAGCATAACTAGGGGTGTTCATTATGGATGATGAACGTTTTGGATTTAGAAAAGAAAAACTTGTATTTTAACTTCCCTTGGAAGATTCACTGAATCAGTGTGGAAGAATATAATATTCTTTGGTGTACTTTTTAAAAAGTCTTTTAAAAGATTTTTTTAAAGAAGTATTTGGTACAGGGTCTCTTATGCAGCTCTGACTCCGTGATCCTCCTGTGTCAGTCACCCCAGTGCTGGGATTACAGGTGTTTGGGACCAGCATGGCATGTGGTACTGGGGATTAAACCCGGATCCTTGTGCTTGCCAGGCAGAAATTTAGGCCACCAAATTATCTCCCCAACCCAAATTTTTACTTTAAATCTTAAACTTCTTTAGAACAATGTCCTGTGTATTTAAGGCTGGCCTTGGATTTGGGGTGATTCTCCTGTCTCAATCTCCCAAGTGCTGAGATTACGTCCTTCTCTCCATGCCCAGTTCTTTTTTTTTTTTTTTTTTAAAGACTGGATTTTACTCTGTAGCTGAGGCTGTCTTTGAACTCTGATCCTCCTGCCTCAGGCCAGCCCACCACCAAGTTACAGGATTATGTATATACATGCCTGGCAAGGAATGCTTCCTAACTAGTGATGGGGGTTCTTTCCAATTTTGACAGTGAACTTCCACATGATCTAGTGATGGTCTTAGTTGAAAAATGTTACAATAAATTGCTTGTTCAGATTGTTTTTTTAAACATACAGGAATTTTTTTTTTGGTCTCAGAGAGTGACTGTGCAGTTTAGGCTGGCCGTGAACTCACTGTAGACTAGGCTAGTCTGGAACTCGGAGTGATCCTCCAGCCTCAGCCTGCAAGTGCTGAGATTACACGCTTGGCCCTCTGTAGGAAACATCTTGACATTGAAGGATATAAATGCTTTCATGCTATTTTATTTTTAGCTTGTGGCAGATGTGCAAAGCATTTTCTGTGGATGAGTCAAAGTTAACATGTAAAAAATTTTCTTGGTACTAGGGATTGAACACAAAGCAAATTTTGAGACAGGGTCTCCCTAAGTTGCCCATACTGGGTTGAATTTGTGATCCTCTGTCCCACCTTCTACTGCTGGGATTGCAGACATGTACCATCACCCTTGAATCTTGAAAATTTTTGTACGGGTTCAGACTGACTTCAAATAAGACTGTTGCATTGTTAATTCCAAAATACTGACTCAAAGGAGGTAACATTCGAAAGTGTATTTACTAAGGTTTTGCACAAACTGTGTAGCTGTTTATATTTGCACAATTAAATGTAAAAGTAACTTACATGTCATGCTGTTTTTCTACTTTAAGCATTTGTTGGATCTCCATACCTGTTCTGTTGCTATGTTTCATATTTGACTCAAGGAATCATTAAAAACTCAGTTTTCAGGAGAGATGGCTCAGTAGAATAAGCTCTTGTCTGGCAACCACAAGGGCCTGAGTTCAATCCCCGGTTCCACGCAAAACAAAACAAACTCAGTTTAAAGGGCCAGTCAAGTAGCTTAGCGAATTAAAGTGCAGGTGCAAGGGGCAGGGGTTTGATACTTGGCCTGCTATGCTGGCCCCACTCCACCCCCACTGAGCACTGAGATGCAATTGAGACTGGGCATGGTGGTGTGAGCCTGTAATCCCAGTGCTTTGGGAGGCTGTAAACAGGAGAATCACTACAAGTCCAATCTAGTAGTGAGACCCTGAACCTGAACACCTTCTGGACCCTTCTCTAAAATACAGGAAAAAGAAACCCCTCAGTTTAAGATGTGCTGGACTTGTTGGCGCAGCCCTGTAATCCCAGCACTGTAGGGGCCAAGGCAGGAGGATTGTCACACATTTGAGGCCATTCTGTGCTACATAGTTCAAGACTAGTCTAAATAATGTAGCGATGCTGTATCTCAAAAAAATAAAAAGCTTGAGTTTACTGAAAATTGAGGGGAGAGTAAGACTAAATATTCAGATGTGAGTAGAGCCATTTTATGCTTATTTGCACAGTGAGCTATAGTCTAATTGCAATTCTTGGGGGCCGGGGATATAGCTCAGTGGCTTAAACACCTGCCTGGCAAGTGCAAGGTCCCGAGTTCATTCCCCAGCACTGCAAATAAAAAGTTAACTAATTGCAGTTGTTCTGGTTCATGCATAATAACTGTCAGTTTGTGTTAGTTACCACATTCTTTTAATCTACACCTTGCAAATTAGTGATATATGTGATGTAAACCACAAACATTCCACAAGGGCCATAATGTTTTCATCTGTTTGTGACATTCCTCAGGGTCATATAGATAAGCTTTCCCAAACTTCATGTCTTTTTTTTTTCTTTTTTTTCCCCATTATCCACTGACGGAAAGGGCTCCTTATAACATCTTTTCTGTATCAGGCCTTGTGTTTTGATCACTTCTCTCTTTTTCTTTAGTATTGGGGGTTGATCCTAGGGGCCTTGTGAACGTTAGGCAAGGCTAGCACCACTGACCTAGATCCCCCAGTCCTTTTATTTTGATAGAGGGTCTTGTCAGGCTGCCCCAACTGGGCTCAGACTTGGGATCCCTCTGCCTCAGCTTCCCCAGTAGCTGAGTGACCAGCATGCACCAACATTCTTAGCTCAATCATTGGTTCTGAGAATAGATAAGTCATTTCTAGTATATATCTACCATTTAAAATACTTCTGGTCTGTGTTAAGTACATGGACTTAAAAAAGTTTAAAACCCACGAATCTGCTTACCTTTCCAGTATTTGACATTTGTTCACTTCTTTTATTTCTGTGTTGGCCTGGTTCTTTATTTTCCTTTCCCAAACCGCTGATTTATCAACATGAATGTTCAAATGTATACTCCTTCGGAGCCCCTAAGGGAATGTTGACATATATTTAATTTTAGCTACCTATTGGTGTTAAAGAATTGTAAAGACAGTCACTGGTAAAAGTGATTTCTATAAAGGCTCTTCCCATCCCAGTGAAATGTTATGCTATACCAAAATGTGTTAGATGCAATAGACAGATGTTTCTGTCCGGGGTTAGGGCACAACATTTCTGAGGAACTCTGACTCAATCTGTCCCTTCTCCTTTCACAGGGCAGCAAGGCGAACCCCATCCCTACTCACTGGAGCTCAGCTTTGATTTTTAACCTCCTTTCCCCACCCTTTCAGAACACACACATTCCCATTTCAAAACTGATTTTATAAAGACATTTTATACATAATGATGCAACATGGTGTGCACTACAGCAAATTTACAGGTGTTTTTTTTTAATTGTTTCCAAAAACGGGACCTGGAATTAAGATGTAATTTTTAACATTTCTATTTTTTAGCTGTTGGGTTAGAGGAGGAGCCTTTTAGCCTCTTATAAACTGACCTCTCTATTCCTCGTGTATTTTTAAGATTGATGGATGATGTGGAAAGGGCTTTGCTTGTCTGCTACTGAGAACATTACCCTTGCGGTTTTTGTGGAAACTGCTTTGGGAAAGAAAAGAAATGAACTTTACTTACTTGACATTTTTTCACCTCCCGTTTTTCTAATCTGGGCTATTTTTATTTTTGTTTTTTTACAGTGAGATTTTTTTGATCTTCAGCTACAGTAAGTTATTCCAATTTTTTTTTTACATTTTTCCTGACTTTCCGCTGATTTCCTTTTTATTGTTGTTACTAGTATTATTATAACTTATTATTATTATACTTATGATGGTGATGATGATGATGATAATGACACTGATGATTTTTAACCGGATTAAAATCGAGTTTTTCTGAATGTTTGTAAGAATTTCTTCGGCCTCCTGATTAACTTTGGAGTTTTACACCTTGGGAGAGAAAGCAAAGGCATTAGCATTTTTAAGTGGATTGATCACGTAAACCTTCTCTCCCAACCTCACCCTTGCCCTCAACCCCTTCCCCACACTGGAAATAATTTTACTGGCTGTTAAGTCTGTGACCTTATTTTTCCTGATCTTTAACTTAACTGTTTTAGAGAATCTCTGGACGTCTGTATTTTTAATTTTTTTTATTTTTGTTTTTTATTTTTAATCTTTCATTTGTTAAATTTTTAAATTGTGCTGCAATAAAATGTGTGTGGTACTACTTAACACCTATTATAGTGATGGCATTTTCCTGGAAAGCCATCTTCCTCCTGTTTCCCTTGAAATCCCATCCTGCTTTTCCTGTACACTACTCCTCACAAACCACAAGCTGCAGCAACATGGATGCCCAGCCTGGAGCAGCATCAGCCAGGATGACCTGGAGCCAGGGGGGCCTTCGGAACAGATGCACACCCATCCTGGGTGATGGTAAGAGGTGTAAGGTCCACTTGGTTTCATTGCAAAGAGTAGGAAACAGATTCATTGTAGTTGATGTGGTGTAGGTTATAGCCTCTGGAATGGTTCTGGTTAACCCTTAAGGGTATGTAGCTTGTTAAGTTTTCCAGGAGAGGCATCCTCAGGTTTTTGTAAACTACTATAACTAACAATGAATTTTTAATTAACTGGGGCTTACTAGAAAATGGTAATTAGAGGAGCTGAAATTTACACTTCAGATTGAAACATCCTGCTATAATAGCAACAAGGCAAGGGCATATGTAGAAAATCCTTTACTTACGTTATTACAAATGAGTAAAAATTTTTATTTAATCTTGAGGCTTTTGGTAGTATCTTGGATTATATTAGCTACATTTAATGTGAATCATCACAAAAGACATGCTGTAATAATAGAATGTTCCATTGCAGCATTGTTTTCAGTCATTAAGGGAAGGTAGGGTTTATCTCAGAAAGCAAGAAAATTTAATTTTTGTATCCAAATTAAGAAGGATCTAGGGCTGAATCTTTCCAGTTGATTTGAGGTCCAGTTACCTGCTGAATTGTCTAGTGTTTGCTTTGTTGCTAGTAAGAACCTTTGTACTTAAAACAGCACTCACAGTTGTGCTGTTTCCTGTGTTTTTATGAGGATTCAAAAGAATAGTGTAGAGATTAGTGAAAATATGAAACTCCAGGGTTTTTAACCTTTTAATATTTCAGTTACTACAGTGAATTTTTTTTGGGGGGAAGATATTTGAGCTCTTGCCCTGTCCTCTTTGAGGGTTGGATTATAGTCCAGTACCACCATACCTGACTCTACAATAGAGTATTTGTGTCTGCTTTGCAATTCAGGCTGGCCTTGAACTCCCAGTGATCCTCCTGACTCAACATCCCATGTGCTGGGGTTGCAGGCATGTGCAACCTCACCTGGTCTTTGGGCAGTGACTTTAAAAGGCATATACAGTGTGGTGGTGCTAAAAGGCATATACAGTGTGGTGGTGCTAGAGCAATAAATCACACTTTTCCTATCCATATGGACCAAAAATACCAAATTAGTCAAAGGAAATTCAGTTAAAGGAAAATGAAATGGGGAAAAGTTACAGCAGAAGTTCCTGAGTGTTAGCTGGAAGAGAGATGAGTTCTTTTTATTAATAGTCAAATTGTCTTTTTTTTTTTTTTTTTTGAGATAGTTTTACTCTGCAGTTCAGGTGGCATGAAACTTGCTTTGATCCTGTCTCAGCCTTCCAAATTCTGGGATTATAAGCATGTGCCATTAGGCCTGGCTCAAACATATTTTATCATTTTTTGGTTTTTTATTTTTTATGTACTTAGTACAGGGTTTTACTACATAGATTGGACTCATCGTAGTGATAGTCTTGTTTTCACCCTCCCAAGTGCTGGGATTATAGGCGTGCGCCAGCGTGCACAGTCTCAATAGCTCATCTCAGCACTGGGAGCAGGGCCTGCACCGCATCTGCTGCTTCGCTCTGCCTAAGCAGGTGCTTTAATTTGCTGAGCTATCTGGCCAGCCCTACAAAATTATTTTTCTTAAAATTTTTTTTAATTATTTGTGTGTGTGGGGCAGCTCAGCCCACCAGGGGGCGGGGCTGGCTGGCATGTGGTGCTGGGGGATTGAACCGTTGTCCCTTGTGCTTTGCTAAGCTTGTTCTAAGTAGGTGCTTTAGACCACTGAGCCATCTCACCAGCCCTACAAAATTATTTTTTAAATATTTTATTTGGTTCTGGGTCTTGCTATGTAGCAGCTTGAACTTGTAGGGATCCTCCTGCCTCATCTTTCCCAGCTCAGGGTTTAGAAAAGGTTTGTGCCATGCCTGGTTTCAGTGGCTAGCACAGCATGCAGTACTGGGGATAGAACTTGGGTCCTTGTGCTTGTCAACCTGGCTTTTTTTTTTTTTGTGGAACCAGGCATTGAACTCAGGCCCTTGAGCTTTCCAGGGAAGCGCTTATTCTACTGAGCCATCTTCCCGGCCCCAACCTGGCTCTTAGATCGATGAGCTCTCTTTAAAGACCCTGAAAATTATTTTTTTTTTAATAGGTGGAATTTATTTATTTATTTTTTTTATGTAGTTAATACAGGGTCTCACTACACAGGTCAGACTCACAGTGATTTTCTTTTTGTGGAACCAGGGATTAAACTCAGGCCCTTGCACTTGCCATGGAAGCACTTACTCTACTGAGCCATCTCCCCAGCTACAGATCTGACTCATAGTGAGTAATCCTCCTCTTTTCAGTCTCCCAAGTGCTAGGATTACAGGTGTGCACCACCATACCCAGTGTCAGTCCCAGTCTCTGTGCCCCAGAAGCTAGTCCCTCACAGTGCCAGGAATCAAACGTGCCCCTCCCCTGTCAGCTGAGCCTGCCTAAGCAGGTACTTTAGTCTGCTGAGTTATGTGGCCCGCCCCTTGCAGGTTTTTTTTTTTTTTTTTAATGTATTTGGTATAGGGTCTACAGGGTCTTACTACATAGATCGGACTGGTAGTGATCCTCCTGTTTTCAGCCTTCCAAGACATGGGATTACAGGTGTGCTTCAGAAAGCCCCATCTCCATCTTCATTGCAGTTTCGGCTCACCCCGGGGGCTGGGCCAACAGGTATCTGGCCTGCTGCGCTCCATCTAAACAGGCACTTTAGGGGTCGGGAAAATAACTCAGTAGAATAAGTGCTTACCTGACAAGCACAAGGACCTGAGTTCAAGCCCCAATTCCGCCCCCCCCCCCAAAATAAAAATAAACAGACACTTTAATCCGAAAGTTTTTTGTTTTTTGTTTTTTTGTTTTTGGTGGAACTGGGGATTGAACTCAGGCCCTTGCACTTGCCAGGGAAGCACTTATTCTATTGAGCCATATCCCCAGCCCCATGGAAGTTGTTTTGATACCCACATTTTTTTTTTGTTGTTTTGTGTGTCAGCTGCTTGCTTGCTTTTTTGTCTCATTGCTGGCACAAGTTTTGACTTTGGAGTGCCTGTAGGCTGACCTTGAACTCTCCTGGCTCAGCCTCTTGAGTGCTGGGATTAAAGATGTGTGTCACCAAATCTGCCTCCATCTATTTACTTTAGATTTAGCATGAAAGACATTTAGCACCTGGGGGAGAAAAAGGGGGAGGTAGGTAAGTGAGGTAATGGCACCATAATTAGCAATAAACAGGAATACTGCAGAGATGGGTATCTTAATTCAAGAGGTCAGGAATCATTGTTAAGAGGATGTGAATGGAATTGTATTTTAGGTTAAAATTTGGTCATTTTAGTCCCTGGCACCACGTACTATGCCAGGCCCCTAAGTGTGCTAAGCCAACAAAACCAAGTATGGTGGCCCACACATGTAATTCCATCACTGGGGAGGCAGAAAACAAGAGGATCACTGAAAGTCCGAGCTGCAAGTGAGACCATGTACCATATACATAAAGCAAAAAAAAAATCTGGTCAAATAATTCAGTACCATGCAGAGGAATTTATATTTTTTCCTGGTAATAAACCACTGATTTTTTTTTTTTTTTTTTTTTAATATTTATTTAATACAGGGTCTTGCTACAAGGGCCAGCACAGCACGCGGTACTGGGAATTGACTCAGGCCCTTGTGCTTATCAGGCAGGTGCTTAGACTGCTGAGCTGTCTCCCCAGCCCAAGTCACTGATTCTTCTTGAGATGCAGTGTTGCTATTGAGGCTGCCCTTGAATTCACTATAGCCCAGGCTGACTTCTAACTCACTGTTAATCCTCCTGCCTCAGGTTCTTAGGAGGTAGAACTTCAGAATTCCAAACAGGAAAATGATGCCAGGGTTTTATTTTTAGAAATGTTAATTTTAATGTGAAAGTGGTTTAGAATAAGGAGGGTTGGGAATGCCTGCCATAATGGAACTTTTGCTCAAGCTGAGATTGGAAACATTGCACATGAAAGCACAGGTAATGGGGAATAACAAACTTAATCTTGGAACAAGACATAGTACTGGAAAATAGGTGCAAAAATGTGAGGAGTAAGAGGCAGAGGTGTATGTTGTATATACTGTACTACTTTCAGTCCTCAGCTTGCTTAAGTTGTGGTTGTCACTTAGCTAGTCATAGATATCACTGTTCCATGAACTTTACTGCTTCACTTCTAGATTATTGGGCTTCTCTGTTAAAGTGACTGTCCTACCTTTTTGCCCACACTTTATGGGTTTTATTTAATCTCTTAATACCTACAAGCTGATGATTCTCAAACTTACATAAACAACCTGAACTTTGTTATCAAGTGAAATTCTCATTCGTCTATTTTAGCATCTTGACAGTTCCATGAATATC